TCCCTTGAGACACACACACACACACACACACACACACATCTCACTGTGGACGCACACTCATTCTCAACTCCCCTGTCTACTGGTCGGGTGCCAAGGGCAGAGGACTCTGCCGTGCACCAATGGGGCATCTGCTCTGGACAGAGCAGACCCGCCTCCTACGCCTCGGGAACCAATCAAGGGACTAGAAGAAGGACCCCTTCCTTTATGTTACATTGTATAAGTAATGCTGTAAACTCTGTTTATCCATCCTTCTCAGCTGACACTATTAGCGTGGCATATGATTAGGTCCATGCATGTTAATTAGCAGGATCCCATGCATGTAGCTTGAACAGTACCAGCTATCTCTGTTGTAATAAACTGCCTTTTGCTTAAGCAAATTCCTCTCTGTCTAGCGTCGTTGGTTTTGTACTTCCTCTCCAATTATGTGTTCACCAACAAGTCCTTTAGCTCACGTAGCAGACAATACCTGCTTTATGATCTACTACAAACCCATGGCAGGATTAGACAGATGGGTATACAGATGGGTCCCAGCCCATGTGGGGTTGGAGGGGAACGAGGCAGTTGATGTACTGGTTAACAAGCACTTAGTAGTGGGGATGTTGATGTTGTAGTTTCAATTAGCAAGGCAGAGGCAAAAAGCTTAATATGGACAGTGATGGTGCAGAGATGGCAGGAGCAGTGGAATAGAGATAATAAGGGAAGGCATTTATTTCAAGTACAGAGGAAAGTCGGGAAGGGGAGGATGGCAGGAAGGGACAGAAGAGAGGAGGCTATTTTTTACTAGATTAAGGGTGGGACACAGCCAGTAGAATAATACTTTAAATGTGATAGGAAAGCATCCAACAGGAAAGTGTGATTATTGCCAGGAAACAGAGACCGTGGAGCATGTATTGCTACAGTGTGGGCAGTATTTTCATTTTTAGTCATTTAGCAGACGCTCTTATCCAGAGCGACTTACAGTTAGTGCATACATTATTATTATTATTATTATTATTTATTTTTTATTTTTTTATTTACTCACAACCCTGGCGTTGGAAACGCCATGCTCTACCAACAGAGCTACATCCCTACCGGACATTCCCTCCCCTACCCTGGACGACGCTGGGCCAATTGTGCGCCGCCCCATGGGTCTCCCGGTCGCAGCCGGCTAGCTCTGCGCCATTGCGCCACTCGCCACTGCGCCACTCAGGAGATCAGAAGGAAAGAGAGAGGCTGAGATCTAGTATGAGGGAGAAGGGAATACAGGAAATTAGTTTAAAGAGTACATTGAGTAGAACCTAATTAGATATAGTCTCAAATATTTATTTTTTAAGAGCAACGGGGCTGGCATGTAGGATTTAGTTTCTGCCTGTCTCTGGCCCATACTCCAGTACAGTAGGTGGCAGTAATGTACCATAACGTTGGATGCCAACCGCCGATAAATCCCACCGAAGAAGAAGGCAGGCGGGGTTGGCATCGAACGAACATAGGAAGTGAATTTGAGAGTGAGATTGCAATTTGACGTTCAGACGTGTCCACAAATAATCAGGTAGTGTAGCCTAATACAAACTTGATTTAACGGCAACAGAAAGATACTAATAATCACTGCTGGATGTGTCGTTGTAACCTGATTCAAGGCTTGCGTATTTGTAAATGTACAGTAGCAAGCGACAGAAGAACTACTCACTCAACGTTAGCTTGCCGGCTGACTAGCTAGCTAAGGTTAGCTGTTAGCCAGGGGTGTATTCATTACGGAAACAGTTTACTGTTTAAGAACCAAACCGAGCAAATGGAACAAAACGGAGAGGGACCTACCTGAATTTGCTCAATGGAAACTCTCGGTTTCTGTTACAAAACGTTTTAACAGACGAAACGTTTTGCAACAGAATCGGCGTAATGATTACACCTCAGTGCATAGCGGTAGCTGGATAACTAGCTACCGGCTGCTACCATGTTCTACTATTATATAAGTTAAAATGTGTATGGTTAGTAGCCAGCTAGTAGCCAGCAGATCCGACCTGCTTTCTTACAATTGGCTAGGGTCAGAGAGACTTTATGTGTAGATTAAAGGTCACAGCATGCTCCCCATCCGAAACAGTTTGTGCATATATTATGCTAAGATTTTGTGACCCACGGACCTTTTGTAGGCCCAAATAAAATAATTATGTATATTGAACAAAAATATAAACGCAACAACTTCAAAGATTTTACTGAGTTACAGTTCATAAGGAAATCAGTCAATATTAATTAATTAGGCCCTAATCTATGGATTTCACATGACTGGGAATACAGATATGCATCTGTTGGTCACAGATATATTTTCTTTTTAAAGGTAGGGGCATGGATCAGAAAAGCAGTCAGTATCTGGTGTGATCACCATTTGCTTCATGCAGCGCAACACATCTCCTTCACATAGAATTGATCAGGCTGTTGATTGTGGCTTGTGGAATGTTGTCCCACTCCTCTTCAATGGCTGGGAGAAGTTGCTGGATATTGGTGGGAACTTGACCGCACTGTTGTACAAGTCGATCCAGAGCCTCCCAAACATGCTCAATGGGTGACATGTCTGGTGAGTAAGAAGGCCATGGAAGAACTGGGACATTTTCAGCTTGCAGGAACTGTGTACAGATCTTTGTGACATGGGTCCATGCATTATCATGCTGAAACATGAGGTGATAGCAGCGGATGAATGGCACAACAATGGGCCTCAGGATCTCGTCACTGTATCTCTGTGCATTCAAATTGCCATCGATAAAATGCAGTTGTATTCGTCGTCCGTATCTTATGCCTGCCTGCCCATACCATAACCCCACCGCCACCATGGGGCACTCTGTTCACAACGTTAACATCAGCAAACCGCTCGCCCACACGATGCCATACATGTGGTCTGTGGTTGTGAGGCCTGTTGGACATACTGCCAAAATCTCTAAAACGATGCTGGAGGTGGCTTATGGTAGAGAAATTAACATTCAATTATCTGGCAACAGTTCTGGTGGATATTCCTGCAGTCAGCATGCTAATTGCACGCTCCCTCAACACTTTTGTCATCTGTGGCATTGTCGTTTTAGAGTGTACTTTTATTGTCCCCAGCACAAGGTGCACCTGTGTAATGATCATGCTGTTTAATCAGCTTCTTGATATGCCACACCTATCAGGTGGATGGATTATCTTGGCAAATGAGAAATGCTCACTAACAGGGATGTGCACAACATTTGAGAGAAATAAGCTTTTTGTGTGTATGGAACATTTCTGGGATCTTTTATTTCAGCTCATGAAACATGGGACCAACACTTTACATGTTGTGTTTATATTTTTGTTCAGTGTATACATATTTTTTGGAAATCAGTCCGGGTCTCAACTTACTTTTGAGAGGTAGAATAATAAAATACACAAGGTGCAATTTCGAAATGTGGTTGTGCATCAGCAGTCACTCAATTAGCCAATGTCAGCAAAACAAATTGGATTGGTAAATTAGTCTAGTGGCCAGCTATCTAAACTTGTAGTAAGCATGGTTGAATTACAGACTGGGATGTGGGGCCCATTGATCATCCGTTATATTAAAAACGGAAAACATTTTCCTCAACCCTATTGCAAAATGTGTAGAATTGCAGGAAATTAGCTGTAAAATTGCAAAATCTTCTCCGCCCCATGACAAAATGTGTACAATTGCAGGAAATGAACTTTAAAACGTAATTGTTTATCTTCACTGTAACGAGGGGGGCTGCTAAAAAAATTTGTGGCCCCCACCTCCATCAAAGTTACCCATCCCCGATCTAAACAGCTGTGAAATATATTTTCCATACCTAAAAATATTGTATTTTCAGCTGTTTGAAGCTGGTGTACAAAACTGAAAGTAAAAGCTCAACTTAAGAACAGGAAGTATAGAAATAGTGCACATAGAACATATCTACCACTTTTTAGACTTGCTTTCAATGAGAATGACCGATGTATAACTCACATTTCTTTGTGAATTTGGTCGGGTCACCCAAAAAGTTACTTATTGCAGTTTTAAGGGTGTGTCTACACTTGACACTTCAATGCGACTTCTGCTATTAGAATCGAAGATCGGGTCTAATCGCATTGTGGTCGGATTGTGTTCAGACCTGGTTGACCACTTCAGGTAGTGGTCAGGGACACATTGTGTGTGATGTTCTCCTCAGTCTGGATGCAGTCATGCTACCGAAAGCACATACAGTTAGCAAAGTCAGCAGCACTCCACACACAAGTCTCCATAAAACGTGTGTTTTGGTAGCAAGAGGCACCTTTTTTCATTAAATGTTGGCGGAAATACGTTCCTAGCGTGTGAGGAATGTGTTTGCTGGCATCATAAATGCTAGCTAGCTAGCTAGCTTATTTAGACAAAATATTTTTTGTTTGGCTAGTGTTATGCTAACCTGTTAGCTGGCTACAGTAGTTGCCATCAAGTTGTTGTTGTGTTATTATCAGATTTAGCATGTTCCACCATTTGCTGAATGCGTTGTACTCCTAATTGTCCCATTATCCCAACTGTTACACCGAAAAGATTGAACGACTGCTAGTCTTTCCGTAAAACTGTCCTATTTGTCCTCATGCTAGGTAGCAGAAGTCACAGCAGCCATGGAATGGCAGTGTCAGCCAATCCGCTCCTTTGTTGTTAAACGTGACGTGCCTAGCATTAGGACGAAAACGGCAGTCTACTTAAAAACTAGCAGTGTCTTAATCTACACAGGAAGCCTGTCCGACCCTAGTGCAGCTGTAAGCAAGCAGGTCGGATCTGCTGGCTAGATTGCTAGCTAACAGACAGTCTAACTAGCTAGCTGTCTAGATAGTTTTGATTGCTTCATCAAGCAATGTATTTAGTTAAAGTTACAGCCAGGAATGATTCTCAGAACTTCTCACCTGAAGACTGTGGAAATGTAACCATGCATCTAGAAACATTTTTTGGAGCTAATAAGATCATGCATTTTGTTTACATCTACAGATTCTGAACTGTGAGCGTTGTGTTGACGAGGCAGCCGCAAGCGTCCAGATTGTTGTTCACTATGGTGGACTCTCAGTACTTCCTCCCCAATGACATTGGGATCTCTGCGCTGGACTGTACTGAAGCCTTTCGCCTGCTGTCCCCTAGAGAAAAGCTCTATGCACACTACCTCTCCCGGTCTGCCTGGTATGGAGGACTGGCAGTGCTGCTGCAGACCTCGCCTGAGTCTGCCTCCATCTTCGTTCTCTTACAGAGGCTGTTCCGCAAGCAGCCACCAGCACAGCTGGAGAGCATGGCCACTGCAGCTGGACTTAGTCCTGAGGAGTACCAGGTCAAGTAATGCACCTGCCTACAGAGCCTGGAGAGAAAGACTGAGTCAAACAATGTATACACCATAGAATTAGAATGTGTACACACACACACACACACACACACACACACACACACACTCTGATGGTACATGCTAGAGTTCTATCAGAATGTAGGCTATAGAGTACAGAGTACACGGTGAGTTGAATACGTCACACATCCACTCCACCTGCCCAGGCATCCAGCCTGTTGTAATAAACATGTCTTCTGTAACTCAGCCTGACTAGATAATAATAGCTATTCTTCTTCTCTGTTTGTAGGCCTTTCTTGTTTATGCTGCTGGTCTCTATGCCAACATGGGAAACTACAAGTCATTTGGAGACACCAAGTTCATTCCCAACCTCCCCAAGGTAGATCATCCTCGCTTTTATAACTGAATGTATTATTTTAAAAAGCCTTGACATAATCACGGTGGTGGCCTCTAATAACCACTCATTGCGGTATAGGAGAAGCTGAAGGACCTTGTGTGGCAGAGCCAGGCCTTCCAGGACAGCCCCAGTGAGATGGAGGCCCTGTGGGACAGCTGCTCCACCCTCCTCTTCTCCCTGGAGGACCAACAGAAACAGCTGGGCTTGGGGGACAAGGTGAGACACTTCCTGATGCCAAGCTCTCATCCCACTCATGCCTTATGTGGTGATTGGTCCACTTATTGCCAGCCTTAGTTGTTTAAATAAATCCTGTATACTGTAGCCTAGGTGTTGATAATGATGTTGTTTTATTTCTTGTTCTCAGGGAATCACCACATACTTCTCAGGGAACTGTTGCTTGGAGGATGCAGAGTTGGCCCAGAAATTCCTGGATTCAAAGGTGTGTATTCAAGTTTGTCTTATGTCTGTGTTATTAGTATTGCAGGATTTAGGCGGCAGGTAGCCTAGCTGTTAAGAGCATTGGGCCAGTAACAGAAAGGTCACTGGTTCGAATCCCCAAGCCAACTAGGTAAAAAATATGTTTATGTGCCCTTGAGCAAGGCACTTCACCCTAATTTCTCATGTAAGTCGCTCTGGATGAGAGCGTCTGCTAAATGACTAAAATGTAAATATATATGTGTCTCCCTTACAGAACCTGAGTGCCTACAACACACGACTGTTCAAGAACAAATCAGAAGGGAAGCCCAACTATGAGGTGCGCCTGGCGTCAGCTGTGCAGAAGGGTGAGAGTGCCATGTCCTTTTTAAAAAGCTATGCTAATTGAGGAAACACTGGTGGTTGCTGGTTCTTTTTCTGTTAATGTCAGTAATGCATTCTCTTTATTAAATCCCCCTTTTCTGTCATTGCTGTAGACTGTGCAGTGGATGGGGAGGGGGAGACCAGGTGTGGCAGATATGACTTTGAGGACTGTGTCTTCACGGTGTCCAGGGGAGACTATGCTTACCTCATGAAGAAAGTGAGTGAAAATCTGGAGAAAGCGAAGGTGAGTTCAAACAGTATCCTAATTCAAATGAATGTTTGTCCCATTATCAATTAAAGAGTGTATGTGTTTCGAAACTACTAGTGCATCTTAAAAATGTACGTTTGGTCTCATGTGAACGTCTTCACCTTGGTGACAGGACCATGCTGCCAATGAGAACCAGAAGCGAATGCTGGAGGAGTATGCACGGAGTTTCACCTTTGGGTCCATAGAGGCGCACAAGGAGGGCTCTCGTTTCTGGATCAAAGACAAGGGACCCATCGTTGAGAGGTGAGAGAGCACTGCCCTCCACATTTGGCCTTCCACTCTGGATTAAAAAAGAAGTAGCAATCCATTCATTTTCTGTTCCTCTTTTTTCTATTTCTCTCCTAGTTATATTGGCTTTATAGAGAGCTACAGGGATCCCTTTGGTTCCAGGGGAGAGTTTGAAGGTACAAATGAAGAAGCAAAGCATGTATTATCAATATCACCCCTATTATCAGGACATATTTTGGAAGACTCCTTGGTGATCTTATTGGGGTTTGTCTTGTCTTCCCTCAGGCTTTGTGGCTGTGGTGAACAAGGCGATGAGTGAACGCTTTGCTAAGCTGGTGAGCTCAGCTGAGGTGCTGCTGCCAGAGCTGCCATGGCCAAAAGACTTTGAGAAGGACCGCTTCCTCCTGCCAGACTTCACCTCCCTGGACGTGCTGACGTTCGCTGGCAGTGGCATTCCAGCTGGCATTAACATTCCCAACTGTGAGTGCCACTTCCAACAGACTCTTTATCCCTTTAATATTGACATGACTGACCCACAGTGTCTTATGGTCTTGGAAGGATCTCTTAATGACTTCAGCTTGACGTTAACTCTGAGTGTGTGTCTGATCTGTGTCCAGATGATGACATCAGACAGTCGGAGGGCTTTAAGAATGTCTCCCTGGGCAACGTGCTGGCTGTGGCCTACGCTACCCAGAAGGACAAGCTCACCTTCCTGGATGAGGAAGACAAGGTAATCAACATCCTCACTATGACCTCCTCAGTACCAGGTGTAAGGCCCTGTGTTTTGGGCAATCGTGTGTCATAGCAAGGTTTTATCCTGTATTTTTTGCCAGAAATTGTAATTAGACCAAAAATGAAAGCAATTGTCTTAGAATTGTTCTGGACAATCTGACATCAAAAGAAAAGGGGACAAGTTGATGAAAAAACTTTAAATAAATGTTAAAATCCAGGTCATGTGGCATTATTGCGCAAAACACAGGGCCCTATCAAAGATACAATTATGTCTTAGTCTGATCTTGATCGGTTCCTTCAATGGTCTCTCTGTCTGTCTTTCAGGATATGTACATTAAGTGGAAAGGGCCCTCCTTCGAGGTGCAGGTTGGCCTCCATGAGCTGCTGGGCCATGGCAGTGGGAAGCTCTTTGTCCAGGTGAGAGAGCGAGAGTCCTCCATCCATGCTCATGTCATGCATGGTCTGTCTTTGCATCCATAGTCCTGTCTATGCATTTGAGTGGTTACATTTCTCCAGCTCAATACCCCCCCAGCTGTTTACCATAACAGTGGCGAAGTGCCCCGCTTTGTTATTGATCAAACTGCAGATTGCTCCTTTAATATCTAAATGTCTGGTTTCTAGCTACAGCCATTGTATTTCATGTTATGAAGATTGTGAATGATTTATTGTGTCATTATGTGCTGTCATGTGTACAGGATGAGAAGGGGACTTTCAACTTCGAGCAGGATAATGTTCGCAATCCTGAGACTGGAGAACAGGTGAGTCTATACATCAGTCGTTTGGTATCATAAAGATAGGCTGATTCTGAGAGAGCATCATTTATTGTTGGGGTGAAGTGACATACACTACATGACCAAAAGTATGTGGACACCTGCTCGTCGAACATCTCATTCCAAAATCATGATCATTAATATGGAGTTGGTCCCCACTTTGCTGCTATAACAGCCTCCACTCTTTTGGGAAGGCTTTCCATTAGATTGTTGGAACATTGCTACAGGGACTTGCTTCCATTCATCCACAAGAGCATTACTGAGGTTGGGCACTGATGTTGAGCGATTAGGCCTGGCTCGCAGTCGATGTTCCAATTCAACCCAAAGGTGTTCGATGGGGTTGAGGTCAGGGCTCTGCAGGCCAGTCAAGTTCTTCCACACCGATCTCGACAAACCATTTCTGTATGGACCTCGCTTTGTGCATGGGGGCATTATCATGCTGAAATAGGAAAGGGCCTTCGCTAAACTGTTGCCACAAAGTTGGAAGCACAGAATTGTCTAGAATGTCATTGTATGCTGTAGCGTTAAGATTACCCTTCACTGTAACTAAGGGGCCTAGCCCGAACCATGTAAAACAGCCCCAGACCATTATTCCTCCTCCACCAAACTTTACAGTTGGCACTATGCATTAGGTAGGTAGCGTTCTCCTGTCATCCGCTAAACCCAGATTTGTCCATCGGACTGCCAGATGGTAAAGCGTGATCACGCCAAAGAAAGCCTTTCCACTGCTCCAGAGTCCAATGGCGGCGAGCTTTACACCACTCCAACCAACGCTTGGCATTGCGCATGGTGATCTTAGGCTTGTGCAGCTGCTTGGCCATGGAAACCCATTTCATGAAGCTCCCAACGTTGCTTCCAGAGGCAGTTTGGAACTTGGTAGTGAGTGTTGCAACCGAGGACAGACAATTTTTACGCGCTACACGCTTTAGCACTCGGTGGTCCTGTTCTGTGAGCTTGTGTGGCCTACCACTTCGTGGCTGAGCCGTTGTTGCTTCTAGACGTTTCCACTTCACAATAACAGCACTTACAGTTGACCGGGGCAGCTCTAGCAGGGCAGAAATTCGACAAACTGTTGGAAAGGTGGCATCTTATGACGGTGCCATGTTGAAAGTCACTGAGCTCTTCAGTAAGGCCATTCTACTGCCAATGTTTGTCTATGGAGATTGCATGGCAGTGCTCGATTTTATACACCTGTCAGCAACGGGTGTGTCTAAAATAGCTGAATCCACTCATTTGAAGGGGTGTCCACATTCTTTTGTATATATAGTGTATCTATGATCTTGATTATTCTTAGAATTTCTGGTTTGATTGAGTATTGTGTAAAGTATGGTTTCTGTGCTTCAGATCACCACCTGGTACAAAGGCAATGAAACATGGGACAGCAAATTTTCCACTATTTCTTGCTCCTATGAAGAGTGCAGGGCTGAGTGTGTGGGGCTCTACCTCTGCCTCAACAAACACGTGCTCAGGTCTGTTTATCCATACTGGTGTACACACATACATACTCTGTTACTTACTAAAGCTACATCAATATATAAACAGTGATCTTATGTGGGTTAGGATGATCTAACGAGGATGTTGTCCCTGTGGGTTTGCAGTATCTTTGGCCATGAGGGCGAGGATGCAGAGGAGGTGGTGTACATCAACTGGCTCAACATGGTCCGAGCTGGCCTGCTGGGCCTGGAGTTCTACACCCCTGAGAGCAAGAGCTGGAGACAGGTCAGCTACACTAAAGTTCAATCCAGTACATCAGCCTGTCACTTTACTTGATCATGCTATCTTTCTTACTCTGTAGCTCTTTGAATGGCTTCCCTACAGACTGTGAGCTAGCCCCGCGAGCCAGCATGATCTCGCTAGCTAACATGAATGGTTCACTGCAGAGTAAACCTCCTGTTCTCTCTGTCTCAGGCACACATGCAGGCTCGCTTTGTGATTCTGCGGGTGCTCCTGGAGGCTGGCGACGGGCTGGTGACTCTGAAGGAGAGTACAGGAAAGGATGGGTGCCCAGATGCCCTTATAACGCTGGACCGCAGCAAGGTCCACACTGTGGGCAAAGCTGCCATCGAGAGGTTCCTATGCAAACTACAGGTACAGCCGTAGAAGCCTAGAAAATGTCTTGATCATGGCTGGGATTACAGGGGTAAATTACCAGCCATCAATATTCATACAAAAAATCTAATCAGGTCTCCTATTTGACCCATTATCATCTCTGTCCCTGCAGGTCATCAAGTCCACAGCTGATGTGGAGGGAGGCAGAGCTCTGTATGAGGGCTACTCAGCCGTGTCAGATACTGGTTCTCACAACTTCCTGCGCCTGCGTGAGACTGTTCTCCTGCGCAAAGAGGCTCGCAAGATGTTTGTTCAGGCCAACACAAGGGTCAAAGGTCAGTCTTTTTCCCCTCTCCTAATGCCAAGACACGTCTACATTTAAATGGCACTTCATATACACTACCGGTCAAAAGTTTTAGAACACCTACTCATTCAAGGGTTTTTCTTTATTTTTACTATTTTCTACATTGTAGAATAATAGTGAAGACATCAAAACTATGAAAAAACACATATGGAATCATGTGGTAACCCAAAAAGTGTTAAACAAATCAAAATATATTTTATATTTGAGGTTCTTCAAATTGCCACCCTTTGCCTTGATGACAGCTTAGCACACTCTTGGCATTCTCTCAACCAGCTTCACCTGGAATGCTTTTCCAACAGTCTTGAAGGAGTTCCCACATATGCTGAGCACTTGTGGGCTGCTTTTCCTTCTCTCTGCGGTCCGACTCATCCCAAACCATCTCAATTTGGTTGTGGAGGCCAGGTCATCTGATGCAGCACTCCATCACTCTCCTTCTTGGTAAAATAGCCCTTACACAGCCTGGATGGCTCATTGTACTGTTGAAAAACAGATTATAGTCCCATTAAGCCCAAACCAGATGGGATGGTGTATCGCTGCAGAATGCTGTGGTTTGCCTGCACAGACAGTGTCACCAGCAAAGCACCCCCACACCATAACACCTCCTCCTCCATGCTTTATGGTGGGAAATACACATGCAGAGATAATCTGTTCACCCACACCGCGTCTCACAAAGACACAGCGGTTGGAACCAAAAATCTCCAATTTGGACTCCAGACCAAAGGACAAATTTCCACCGGTCTAATGTACATTGCTCGTGTTTCTTGGCCCAAGCAAGTCTCTTCTTCTTATTGGTGTCCTTTAGTAGTGGTTTCTTTGCAGCAATTCGACCATGAAGGCCTGATTCACACAGTCTCCTCTGAACAGTTGATGTTGAGATGTGTCTGTTACTTGAACTCTGTGAAGCATTTATTTGGGCTGCAATTTCTGAGGCTGGTAACTCTAATGAACTTATCCTCTGTAGCAGAGGTAACTCTGGGTCTTCCATTCCTGTGGCGGTGCTCTTGAGAGCTAGTTTCATAATAGCGCTTGATGGTTTTTGCGACTGCACTTTGTTCTTGAAATGTTCCGTATTGACTGACCTTCATGTCTTAAAGTAATGATGGACTGTCGTTTCTCTTTGCTTATTTGAGCTGTTCTTGCCATAATATGGACTTGGTCTTTTACCAAATAGGGCTATCTTTTTTTATACCCAACCTAAGCTGGTTTAGAGAATGCCAAGAGTGTGCTAAGCTGTCATCAAGGCAAAGGGTGGCTATTTGAAGAATCTCAAATATAAAATATATTTTGGTTTGTTTAACACTTTTTTTGGTTACTACATGATTCCACATGTATTATTTCTATAGTTTCTACTAAGTAGAAAATAGTAAAAATAAAGAAAAACCCTTGAATGAGTAGGTGTTCTAAAACTTTTGACCGGTAGTGTATATCTTCCTACTAAGTGGTCTACCTTCTTCATGGAAAGACTTATCACCTGGCCTAAACCATTCTAATAGCACATACGCCATTGGTATTCTAAGACCTGATGTATTGTGTGATGCAGGTGAAAGTGTGGAGCTGGTGGAATACGAGGGCAGTGCAGCCGGACTGATCCGCTCCTTCACAGAACGGTTTGCAGACGACGCCGAGGAGGTGGAGGCCCACCTGCTAGAGCTGAACAAGAGGGATGCCCCCTGCTGGTGCTGAGTGAACAGTGCAGATACACCGCCAAAGCAGTGCTAAGACCCAGACATGCTACTGCCCTGCCCACGCCTGCTCCTGACTGAAACACCCCTGGCCTGGCCTGCGTGGACCTGTCATAAGAAAGGATCTTTCAGTGCACTGTCAAATGCATTTACAAATCAGTCGAGAGTGGAATGCACACGTGGTTATGGCTGTGATTGGGAGACGAGAGGCACAGTTTGAAACTACGTTAAGCCCCTATCATTATGCAGTTGTTATTTCTCCCTTTCAATTTCAGGAAGGAAAGTGTAAACAATCTGGTGTGAAAGGACCTAGCGGTAGGAGCTTGAAGTCAGTTTGAAATGAGGCCAGAGTATAAAAAAGCTAAGTGACTCAAGGGGACTACACGGTTCACCGTCAACTGTGTCAATCAAATCCCAACCACCATCTTATTAAACTTTTATGTTGACACATTTCAATTGCTGTTTGTCTTGACAATGTTCTTTTTTTTTTTTTTACTCCTTCCAAATAATATTAATCATATTAGGGCACTTAAAGACACCACTGAGACATGGTCAAAGGCAATGCATTTTCAAAGGGTCCACAGTACTGGAAGTCTCTCTTGGTTAGGTTGTTGAAAAACAACCTATACAAAAATAAATGTGATTAAAAAAAAAAAAAACTTTGGTTATGTGTAACTTGCATAATGAGCTGCATACTAAACTGGTACATATTGGAATATAATTTACACAGATTTGTGTATTTATTTACATTGCAATCTCCATTCATACAAATGTGCATTTAAATAGTTTAAGAATAAAGCACAAAGCAACTATTTCTTGCAGTCGAGTGTGGTTTAAGAAAATCGGTCCATAATGTGTGGATACCAAAGTCGACCACTCAAGGTAATCCCACAAAGTCCACAGCCTCCTTTCTGGTTAATTTGCCAGTCTTGAGTTCATCCTGGTTGGCTTGCTGGTATATGAGGGGTGATCCACTGCTTCCTTGGCCCTGTAGGTCTTGGATCTGGGCCTGTGCTGGGAGGGCTTGGATCTCCCCCTCACTCCGCCAGTACAGTTTATACAGCTCTGGGTTGCCCACCCCAAATTTAGCAGCACAGAGCTGGGTCAGGGCCTCCCCACTAACTCCTGCCCTCCACTGCAGGGTTTTCATCCAGTTGTTCTCTCCATCTTGAAACAGAACCCTGACACACCTCTGCAACACAGAATGAAAAGAAGGTATGTACCCAGGAGAACAGTATCCAAGCATTCCTTACGGTAGCTTTGGGGTACAGAGATATTCTACTGTGGCATATTATTCCACAAATCTGTTAGGTATGACGAGTGTGTGTTAATTTGTGTTCAGTATTAGTGCTAGGTGAGGGATTCTATACAGCAGGGGTCAGCAACAAGCAGCCCATGGGCCAAAATTGGCCGGGGGGCTGGGGGACTTTAGTTTTTGGGTAAAAAAAGGACTGTAAAATCAAAATGAATTCATCTAAAAATTAGTTTAATTTTTGATATTTTAAAATACAATCTCTTTCTGGGCTTAGTTGTGGTCAATTTGCAATGTACAAATTATTATAACTGTTCCGATCCCCTGACCATTCCCTCTGACAAAAATCATCCCGCGGCTGAATCTACACTGAACAAAAATATAAACGCAACATGTAAACTGTTGGTTTCATGAGCTGAAATTAAAGATCCCAGAAATTTTCCAAACACACAAAAAGCTTATTTCTCTAAAATGTTGGCACAAATTTGTTTACATCCCTGTTAGTGAGCATTTCTTCTTTGCTAAGATAATGCATCCACCTGACAGGTGTGGCATATCAAGAAGCTGATTAAACAGCATGATCATTACACAGGTGCGCCTTGGGTTGGGACAATAAAAGGCCACACTAAAATGTGCAGTTTTGTCACACAACACAATGCCACAGATGTCTCAAGTTTTGAGGGAGCAAGCAATTGGCATGCTGACTGCAGGAATGTCCACCAGAGCTGTTGCCAGATAATTTAATGTTCATTTCTCTACCATAAGCCGCCTCCAACAATGTTTTAGAGAATTTGGCAGTATGTCGAACCAACCTCAACCACGTGTATGGCGTCGTGTGGGCGAGCAGTTTGCTTTTGTCAATGTTGTGAACAGAGTGCCCCATAGTGGTGGTGGGGTTATGGTATGAGCAGGCATAAACTACAGACAACGAACACAATTGCATTTTATTGATGGAAACTTGAATGCACAGAGATACCATGACGAGATCCTGAGGCCCATTGTCATGCCATTCATCTGCTGTCATCACCTCATGTTTCAGCATGATAATGCACGACCCCATGTCGCAAAGATCTGTACACAGTTCCTGCAAGCTGAAAATGTCCCAGTTCTCCCATGGCCTGCATACTCACCAGACATGTCACCCATTGAGCATGTTAGGGATTCTCTGGATCAATGGTTCGACAGTGTGTTCCAGTTCCTGCCAATATACAGCAACTTCGCACAGCCAATGAAGAGGACTGGGACAACATTCCACAGGCCACAATTAACAGCCTGATCAACTCTAAGCGAAGGAGATGTGTCGCGCTGCATGAGGCAAATGGTGGTCAAACCAGATACTGATTGGTTCTGATCCATGCCCCTACCTTTTTTTAAAGGTATCTGTGACCAACAGATGCATATCTGTATTCCCAGTCATGTGAAATCCATAGATTAGGGCCTAATGAATTTATTTCAATTGACTGATTTCTTTATATGAACTGTAACTCTGTAAAATCTTTGAAATTGTTGCATGTTGCGTTTATATTTTTGTTCAGTGTAGTTGCCTACCCCTGCTATACAGTATTGGTGCTAATAAATGAATTAATTGAGCCGTACCAGTTGCTGTTGTAAGTTTTTCTGGCTCTGCGCCTGGCTGCTCCGGCGCCGGCTCCAGTCTTTCAAAGAGTCTCTGGCCTCGTGGGTCAGCCCACTGGAGGGCACTACTTCAGGCTTGCTCTGGATCAGGCACAGGCTGGCATACACACTGGTCAGGTAGTACCCACCTGGTACAAGCATTACAAAATTATGGATTATGATGGCTATTTGGCATCACATACTATTCCAAATATTTTCACATTTAAAGCCTTACCCTCCCCTTTGAGCCATGATGACTCCAGCAGTTCCATCATGTACTCCACCTCCACAGACAGCTCAGGCATGTTACACTGTACGAGGACATAGGACAGGGCTGGCAGGAAGTCATCTGCACCGAACTCCTGGCCTGCTCATGGAGACAAGACAGAGCAACCATGTTGACACAAGCCATGACAAGACCAAGGATGGGAGGGATAGCAGCTTTTGGTTCTGTAAAGTTTATTTCTTTACCACGTTCTCTCATAGAAAAGCCCTCACCTGAATTGTCCTTCATGGCTTTATAGATGAGCTTGCAGACCTGCAAGAGTAGCACAACCTTGTCAATGGGAGAGTAGGCCCGCCTCATGAGCGCTAACTTCTGCCGCACCTTCTCCACACCGGCAGCATCCGGCACTCCCACCCGCACTCCAAAACACTCCAACGGGGTCTTTCCCCTGGCCACAGCCAGACTCTCTGCCATGCTTTGGGTGGAGCCATCTCGCTCATGCAAAGTTTGCAGTGTCCCGTCTATTTGTCCCTTCATAGGTTTCAGCACACAGCGGAACATGGCTTTCTCCAGCACCAGGTCTGCACACAAACAAGCATAATCATAAGATGTCACATGTCATCATCACTAGGGAAACATGCTAGTACTGGTTGTATTTAAAATGACTGAGCATATTTTGAATTTATTTGACTAATGCCTGCTGTTTGCATTGGGCAGCAATGCTGCTGTACCTTTCTCATCATCAGGCACCATGGTCTCAATGGGGGGCTCTAGTTCTCCACAGTCCAGCAGAAAGGTTTTGGCCTGGGAGAGGAAGAGGCGGATGCCCTGCAGTAGCTCTATGCCAGATCTCTGGCACTGAGGCTTGATCGCCTCTCGCTGCTGCCTGAGGAAGTCCTGCACCAGGACACCAAACGCAGTCCTCCTGTCATGGGACAGGTCCTCCACCAGCCTCGCTACGCGCTTCTCAGGCACAAAGAAGGACACAAAGGCTGCACTAAGCTTGCGCAGGGCTGAGACGGGCTGGTGAGCGGGAGAAGTGCATGGGGGTGAGGGGTTACTTGTTCCCCTGCTGAGGGAAGGTCGCTCTGAGCTCTCATCTGCCTCCTCCAGGCTGCTGAGGGAACTGCTGCTATCCAGCTCACTCAGGGAGGGAGCACATCTCTGCTCCAGCAGGAGACCCACCTCCTCCTCACTCACCCCCTCCTCCCCCTCACCTACTTTCTCCTGGGCCAGTCCCTGCAGGAGACCTATGGGCACATGGTAGTCATCCTCCTCTGCAGTGGGAGACAGTGTGGGTGTGACCCTGGTCTTCTTCAGAAGAACTGGCTGCAAGTAATCTGAGTGCTCCTGGACGGGTGCTGTCCCTCCCTCACCCTCCACTCTGGCCTCCATTGCTCTACTGGCCTGCTGGACCTTCTTGCTCTTTTTCTTGGCCAGCAGAGGTGGGGGAGGGGGAGGAGCGAATGGTGGGGACAAGGGGCTAGAGTTCTCAGTGGAGACACGCACCTTGAGGCTGCGTTTGAACTGGTGGCGTCTGTGCAGTGCAGTCTGGGACTGCAGGAAGAGTGGGTTGATGAAACAGAGAGCCCCTTGGCCTGCTGCCCCACAGTTCAGCTCCTGGGGGCTGCGTGTTTGGATGGGGCAGAACTCTTGAAACAGGGTGGGGCTCTCCTCGGGCGTGGCACAGTCCTCAGGGGTGGGGCTAGGGGGCAGCGGTGCCTCCTCCACTGGTGGGGGCCCATTGCGTGGACCTCTGAAGTTCAGCTGGGAGCTCCAGAACTCTGAGTGAAAAATAAGCAAAACTATGTCAGCATACGTCCTCAAGGCTATCCTTGATCAATCAATCGAATGTATTTTATAAATTCCTTTTTACATCAGCAGTTGTCACAAAGTGCTTTACAGATACCCAGCCTAAAACCCCAAAGAGCAACAATGGAGAGGCAGAAGCACAGTGGCTATGAAAAACTCCATAGAAGGCAGAAACCTAAGAAGAAACCTAGAGATGAGTTGTGTACGGCACACAATGGCAGCTAGTATTACAATAATAATATAATAATAATATGCCATTTAGCAGACGCTTTTATCCAAAGCGACTTACAGTCATGCGTGCATACATTTTTTTTTTTGTGTATGGGTGGTCCCGGGGATCGAACCCACTACCTTGGCGTTACAAGCGCCGTGCTCTACCAGCTGAGCTACAGAGGACCACAACAATGGCCAAGACCTTGGTGGATCATCAGACCTCTGAACCACTCTGTGGTACCTACCCACTCCCATGTGGGAGATTGACTCCAACTGTTTGTGGGATGAAGCCTTGACTATGGCCTCAGGGAGCTCCAGGGGGAAGGGCAACACATCCCTGAAATAGACAGCACATAGGTTTTATAGACAGGTCTGATTGGTCTAAAGGTCCTGAACCTATTCTACTGTGACGTAGAACATACCGGCTAACACAGTAGAAGGCGATGAGCCGGCAGAGGTCAGGGAAACTGATAGCGGCTCTCTCCAAAGAGAAGGCTGTGAATGGAAGGAAGACGGGGAAGATCATTGGTAAGACCCTCATCGTTCACTGCAACGGGCTGTACAGTTGAAGTCGGAAGTTTACATACACCTTTGCCAAATACATTTAAACTCAGTTTTTCACAATTCCTGACATTTAATCCTAGTAAAAATTCCCTGTTTTAGGTCAGTTAGGATCACCACTTTATTTTAAGAATGTGAAATGTCAGAATAATAGTAGAGAGAATGATTTATTTCAGCTTTTATTTCTTTCATCACATTCCCAGTGGGTCAGAAGTTTACATACACTCAATTAGTATTTGGTAGCATTGCCTTTAAATTGTTTAACTTGGGTCAAACGTTTTGGGTAGCCTTCCACAAGCTTCCCACAATAAGTTGGGTGAATTTTGGCCCATTCCTCATGACAGAGCTGGTGTAACTGAGTCAGGTTTGTAGGCCTCCTTGCTCGCACACGCTTTTTCAGTTCTGCCCACAAATGTTCTATAGGATTGAGGTCAGGGCTTTGTGATGGCCACGCCATTTTGCCACAACTTTGGAAGTATGCTTGGGGTCATTGTCCATTTGGAAGACCCATTTGCAACCAAGCTTTAACTTCCTGACTGATGTCTTGAGATGTTGCTTCAATATATCCACATAATTGTCCTTCCTCATGATGCCATCTATTTTGTGAAGTGCACCTGTCCTTCCTGCAGCAAAGCACCCCCACAGCATGATGCTGCCACCCCCGTGCTTCATGTTTGGGATGGTGTTCCTCGGCTTGCAAGCCTTCCCATTTTTCCTCCAAACATAACGATGGTCATTATGGCCAAACAGTTCTATTTTTGTTTCATCAGACCAGAGGACATTTCTCCAAAATGTACGTTCTTTGTCCCCATGTGCAGTTGCAAACCGTAGTCTGACTTTTTATTGGCGGTTTTGGAGCAGTGGCTTCTTCCTTGCTGAGCGACCTTTCAGGTTATGTCGATATAGGACTTGTTTTACTGTGGGTATAGATCCTTTTGTACCTGTTTCCTCCAGCATCTTCACAAGGTCCTTTGCTGTTGTTCTGGGATTTATTTGCACTTTTCGCACCAAAGTACGTTCATCTCTAGGAGACAGAACGCATCTCCTTCCTGAGCGGTATGACGGCTGCGTGGTCCCATGGTGTTTATACTTGCGTACTATTGTTTGTACAGATGAATGTGGTACCTTCAGGCGTATGGAAATTGCTCCCAAGGATGAACCAGACTTGTGGAGGACTACAAAAAAAAATTCCTGAGGTCTTGGCTGATTTATTTTAATTTTTCCATGATGTCAAGCAAATAGGCACTTTGTTTGAAGGTAGGCCTTGAAATACATCCACAGGTACACCTCAAATTGACTCAAATTATGTCAATTAGCCTATCAGAAGCTTCTAAAACCATGACATAATTTTCTGGAATTTTCCAAGCTGTTTAAAGGCACAGTCACCCACTGGAATTGTGATACAGTGAATTATAAGTGAAATAATCTATCTGTAAACAATTGTTGGAAAAATTACTTGTTTCATGCACAAAGTAGATGTCCTAACCGACTTGCCAAAACTATAGTTTGTTAACAAGAAATGTGTGGATTTGTTGAAAAACTAGTTTTAATGACTCCAACATAAGTGTATGTAAACTTCCGACTTCAACTGTAGATGAAACATCTCTGGCTTTATCTTTCAACACTCACTGGAGTTCACTTCGCGGATGACAAATTGTTTGACAAAGGAGGGGATGCTGTCGTCTGCAAGCCTGACACACAGCACTTTCTTCTGTGAGGTGTTGGACTTGCGCACCAGAAAGGTCTGCAGAGAGACAGAGATATACAAACTTAGGTTGTGGTTTGTGTGTGTGTGCAGTGTGCGTCTCACCCACATGAGGTTGGTGTAATAGGTGGAATGGTATCAAATACATCATTTCCATGTGTTTGATGCCATTCCATTCGCTCCATTCCAGCCATTACTATGAGCCATCCTCCCCTCAGCAGCCTCCACTGGTCTCACCCCAGGCGGCTCCCTCTGTAGGATGTGCAGAGCAGTAGCAGAGTTGATGGACAGCTGCAGCCAGACAGGGTGTGTGAGAAGCAGACGGTCCAGCACACTGATGCTCTTCAGGGAGCCACGCTGAGGACAAGCCCGCCTCTCTCCTACCGGCTCCCCTACCGGCTCAGGGAAATCATACACCGGGTCCTCCTGCATCTGGGGAACAGAGAAATACAGTATATAGCACAGGTACTGTATGGGATCTATACACCATGTGGTTATGCTTTATGTTGCCACAATGATGCTTCCCATTCAAGGTAAAACACCAGCAAGAGAATACACATTCTTCATGGTTCTGCTCTTCCTCAGACTAATGCTTCTGAATCAGTACCCTTCCTGTTCTGTTCTGGTAACACTAGCATGCATCATGTCATGTGTTCCGTGTCCTGTGTCCTGTGTTCCGTTTCCTGTGTTCTGTGTTCCGTGCTGACCACTACTTCTCCATCCATTTGGGAAACTCCCAAACCCTATTCCTTCCTCTCACTGAGTAATCTGGAGGGTGTATGTCATCAACTGAGTACGACTCACCACACGTGAGGGTGGTTAGTGTGTGTGGCTCTAATGTATGCGCATATCCTAAGGATACTACCCTCAACAGTGAACTTGCTGGGACTGAAGTATAATTTTGGTTTAGCTTTTTAAACCCTTTGAATATGAGAAGGTGTGGCTGTATTTTGACAGAGGTAGTTATGTGCACAGGCTGTTATCATTGAAAATCACAGGATGTCTATTCCGCCAACTTCCCTCCAGGGATTGGCTGCTGCTGTATATATGCCCCTGAGCCTAACACACCATTCTAGAGAAGAGGTGGATGTAGGGCTGGCTGCCCAAGTCTCGATAGAAGCCTGGCAAGTCTAGACTTGGGGAGCTGAAAACACTCTCCAAACCTACTGAGAAGTGTGTGAAAATGCTAATCTAACCCAGCAAACAATTGAGAGGTACAGGTCTAAAATTGAAGGCAGTAGCTTAAATGTGCCTTCATATTATTAATGCAATAAAACATGTCCAGAATGAATAGCCTATTCTGAAGCCCGCTATTGAACCTCATAAGTCTGACCCCATGAGACTATTGTATAACTGATAAAAAAACAACTGTGACCTGCCAGGATCTGAATATACAGTATCACTAGAATAACATGAAGGTGTAATGACCTGCCAGGACCTGAATATACAGTATCACTAGAATAACATGAAGGTGTAATGACCTGCCAGGACCTGAATATACAGTATCACTAGAATAACATGAAGGTGTAATGACCTGCCAGGACCTGAATATACAGTATCACTAGAATAACATGAAGGTGTAATGACCTGCCAGGACCTGAATATACAGTATCACTAGAATAACATGAAGGTGTAATGACCTGCCAGGACCTGAATATACAGTATCACTAGAATAACATGAAGGTGTAATGACCTGCCAGGACCTGAATATACAGTATCACTAGAATAACATGAAGGTGTAATGACCTGCCAGGACCTGAATATACAGTATCACTAGAATAACATGAAGGTGTAATGACCTGCCAGGACCTGAATATACAGTATCACTAGAATAACATGAAGGTGTAATGACCTGCCAGGACCTGAATATACAGTATCACTAGAATAACATGAAGGTGTAATGCCAAACAAGTTGTTTACAATTAGTTTATTACTGGCGGTATACAGCTCTTGTGGAACCAGTGGTGATTTTTTTGTTGTTGCCATAAATAACAGTTGACTATATTGTAATTGTGTTGCTCCCATGTTGTTGTCATGTTGTGTTGCTACCATGCTGTGTTGTCATGTGTTGCTGCCATGCTATGTTGTTGTCTTAGGTCTCTCTTTATGTAGTGTTGTGGTGTCTCTCTTGTCGTGATGTGTGGTTTGTCCTATATTTTTATTTTGTTTTTAATCCCAGCCCCCCTCCCCATAGGAGGCCTTTTGGTAGGCCATCATTGTAAATAAGAATTTGTTCTTAACTCACCTTTCTAGTTAAATAAAGGTTAAATAAAAATAATTATAACCAACCATGATATCAAATGTTACTTCAGTAAATTGAAAAATGTGTTTTGTATTTTATTTGTATAAATAATAACAGCATCCTATTTGTGGACATGGTCTGGGCTTCCAACATACTTGTGGACCACTTATTGTGGTCCTCTGTAGCTCAAGTGGTAGAGCATGGCGTTTGTAACGCTAGGGTAGTGGGTTCGATCCCCGGGACCACCCATAGGCCTACGTAAAAATGTATGCACACATGACTGTACGTCGCATTGGATAAAAGCGTCTGCTAAATGGCATATTATATTATTTCCACGTATTATCTACAAACACGTTTTGCCTTGAGTGCTGCTCTGTCTGTACCACTCTGTGCGCGGCTTACTTCCTTGATCTACGATCTTCTTGCATACCTTCAGTTAATGAGCGCCAGATCTCATGATTTCTCTAATCATACAAACATTCACAACTGTTTCTTGTTTTACACTTTAAATTAAATGGCAACATGACATAATTTACCTTAATCTCCCGATCCCCTGTCGTCCTTAAAATGTGACAGAGATTATGCTGAATAGCCTACTGTAAATCCCACTTGATCCCTGCCTGAATTTCTAAATGCCATTGAAACTTCAAAAGTATAGAGAAATGTAATAGTCCTAGATCTCTGGATATGCCATGCTGTCTGTCTGGGACTCTCCAGGCAGAGCTCTCTCCGTGAAGCTGTGGTTCAGAAGTTCCTGGAACTCCTCTGCTGTCTTCCTTATATTTTCTATTCACACTTGGGAGAGAAACAAACCTGAACCAAGGTTAAATACGCATGCGCCCGTCACCACATTGTGAACATTCCATTAATACAGTATTTCCAATGGGAAATTCGCCTCTAAAACACAATTACAATCTATCTTTATTCTGTACTTTGTGAAAGAGGGCTAGGCAATTAACCTGCATCCATTATTTTTTAACTTCCGAGTGGTCATCACTATTGCAACCAAATTAGGTAGCAATCATTTACATCTTTTACAGACATACACAGCCTATTTATTGAAATGTTAATGTCTGTTTCATTTGAAACAATAGAGACTCAGATATACATAATTTACCAGGCAAATGCAACAATAAGAAGTAATGGTTGAAAGCATAACATTAGGAATTAGAATACTAGGATTTCTACGGTTGAAACACTCAGTGGTAGCCTTGTACACACCACTCAAACAACATGGTAATTTACATTGTAGCAAAATATGTAGCCAGCACCGTGTACGCCTCCCATGAACATTTACATGTAGCCACAGTTCTGCTCTAGTCATTTGTTGAAAATATCACACGTCACTCTCTCAAAGATCGGAAGCGGAGGTGGTCATTGGAAATATTGCGCCGCGTTAGGTAAGATGGAGGCACGGTGTGCTTATTTTTTGTTTGAGTAAACGTTTGTAATTTTTGTTTAACTCGGCAACTTTCATGAATGCACAATGGGATATACAAAATTTACATAACGCTCTAAATAGTTGCAAATAGATGTGATTAGTTAAACTGCTTCTGAACATTATTTTTCAACACCGCAAGATGGCTAGCTTAGCTAGCCAGCATGCTAACGTTAACTCTAACCCGCGCTGAATTTATAATTTAGCTAGCCAGCCAGGATAAATCTGATCACACCTCGACCAACTAATGTTTGTATAGTACAGCAATGTCGTGTAATTATATGAGCTTCTCGTGTTTCCCGATCGGGTGTTGCCAAGCATCACCGAATTGATGCCACCTCGACTCGAGAAGGGAGGGGGAAACTAACGTTAGCTTGCTAGCTAGGTTTTCTAATGTTGACCATGTGGACTAGTTTAGCTTTATGCGTTAAACTATTGTTAGTTACATGTCACGTTTTATTAAACGACTATATTCATGATATGCCTATAGTGGTTGCATCCGGTTCCTCATAGACGTCCCTTTACAGTTGTGTCGTCAGCTAAAATATCAACTTAACTTAGCTAGCTAGGTCACTGACACCCTGCTCCTTCCCCAGGTGTACCCAGCCATGGAGTCAACGGATAAGAACGATGCTATAAAGCTCTTTGTGGGGAACCTGGCTTTGGACACCTCTCAGGAGGACCTGACACAGCTCTTTGGGCCATACGGACAGGTGGTCACCTGTAGTGTACTCAGGCAGTTTGCCTTCATCCATCTCCAGGGAGATGGTGCTGCTGATCTAGCCATAAGGGAACTGAATGGACGGGAGTTCCGTGGCCGCAACCTGGTGGTTGAAGAGTCCCGCGGAAGGCCCATGCATTCCACCAAGGTGTTTGTGGGGAACCTCAGTGCCATGTGTTCTGCCGAGGACCTGCAAGAGCTCTTTCAGACCTTTGGGAAAGTTCTGGAGTGTGATAAGGTTAAAGGTGAGTCTCTCTCCCCCCCCCCCCCCCCCCATCCACTTGTCAAAAGATTTTCAAGCAAATACTGGTATTCAAATTTTACTGGTAGAGGTGTTTTCATCAAATTGGTTTGTTGAGGATACAACGCTGTGTGTAATGATATAGTGCACATAGAAAGCACTTTGTTCAATATCTTAATTATGTTGATGGTTTTGGGACAAAAACTATTGCGATAAACAGTAAATGTGTCCAATGTGGACTTGGCACGTGCGCTCTAGGCTATAGCTCGCAGGGTACATGAGATTATGGCTTTTTATTGGTCAATTACAGCCTAGCACTGATCACCTTGTCACCAGCATCCAAATTAAGACCGCTTACATTTATTGGAAATAAGCATCAAGCTCATCACCGTGCATGTTCACCACGCTGTGAGGTTCATCATAACTTATTTAATCTGTTACCTAATAAACGGTGCATTTTTTTCCACCTCGTAGTAGGAGTGCAAGTTTACTTCGATATGATGGTTATTCCAGCAAGAACTGCGCAAAAACAGCATATCCACCGCTATTTATCGTATTATATTTCACCATAAAAAAAAATACTACCCCTGTCTAATGTGTTTTGTCAACATTTTGGAAAGTTAAGACAATTTAGCTGTTTCCATCAGACCAATCGTGAGTTTTATTTATATTTTTATCAGACTGATGTTTTACTCATAAAAATGGTTGGATGGTAAACATGGTTAGTAATTTCATTAGCTGACTGTCTTGTCATCCTGTGCTTGATTACAGCGAGGCTCTCCTCCTCTGCGGGCTATGCCTTTGTACACATGGAGCGGAAGGAGGATGCAGTGCAGGCTATCGAGGCTCTCCATGGGACCACCTTCAAAGGCCGACCGCTCTCTGTGGAGCTTTCCAATGTGCAGCCCAGTAATCCTACCACAACTACAGCCAAGGCCCCCATCATGAGTCACTATGCCACTGAAAGCCTCTCCATCAAGCCCCATATGGAGCACCACCAGAGTCAGGCTGCTGTACTGGCTGCTGCGGTTGCTGCAGCTGCAGGTCTGCCTCTTCAGGTGCAGCAGAGTTTGCACAACTCTGTCTACAACACAACAAGCTTTGATCCCACGTATGCTGCACTAAAGGGCATGACGGCAGCCAGCGCCACAGATGGTACCCCAGTGAGCCCTGCTGTCTATGGTGCCCTCGCCAGCCAGGTGTACGGCTCTGTAGCAGATCAGGTATACGACTCTATAGCGAACCAGGCCTCCAGCTATCATAATTCAGCCACACCGGACGCAGCAGGCTACAGTAACCAGTACGACCCCACAGCTGGAGAGGCACCGTCAGCCCAGGCTGCTGTCAACCCGGCCTACGGTGGGGCATCGGCCCTCTACAACGCCAGCTCAGCCTATGGCTCCATGGGGGGCGCAGAACCCACTGCCCAGGCCATCTTTGAGGCAGCACGGGCCCGCTTCTTCCAGCAGGGCCAGCAGGTTCTAGCTGAGCAGCAGATGGGGACTAAGTCAGGGGACAGGGACCGCAGCCCAGTACGCCGCTCCACCCCACTGCTGCCTGACCCCGTGCCCCAGCCCTTCCCCCAGCCACGCCCCAAACGCCGCGCCCTCCTCCCAACGCCACCCGGCCGACCAGAGGACCCCGCTGCTGATAGAGACCCCATTGCCAGGTACATGATGCAAGTTTGGGGCAGTTTTGATATTTTGAAGCAGATCAAACATATTCAACAGCGTATTTACAATATTCTTTCTCATTTCTCAACTTCAGATGCTATGCAGAGTACTATCAGCAGGTCCAGCAGTACCAACAGTACCAGCAGTACCAACAACAGTACCAGCAGTACCAGTATGGCTACCCACCTCCAGCCCCGACCCAGATGCCCCCCACGATGCCCACCTACCAGATGCCCATGCAGGCCCCACCCCCGACCGAGGCCCACAACCTGGCAGCGCCTGCTACCTACGCCCCAGCTAGAGCGTATGAACCGCCTCCATCACACAAGGAGCCCCTCCTCCGCCGCCCTGACTACTCCCACATGCCAGAGCCCCGATAACCCTTTAGATTGCAGTGTGTATGTGAATGTCTATGTGAGTGTGTGGGTTCTGAGTGATGTATGTGTGACAGTAGTTGTGGTCCAAAAGTGCATCACTGGAAGTTTGCCCATTTATAATTCCCCTGTTTTGCAGCTTCTCTTTTCTGAACACAATTCTGACAAGTTCATTTTTTACTTTATGGTAGGCCTGGTCTTGCTTTGATAAGAACGCTGCCCCACAATGCAGTGAACTGTATTGTGAAGTCGTTATGGTTGTAAGGAAGTGTATGATTGTAATGCGTACTGGGGGCTCTGTAATGACAGCTATTCCTTACACATACCCGTCCCATAAATTGTAAAAAATGCGAGAATATTCATCCATACCAGAGGAGTGCCTTGTTAAAAGCCTAGTTGAAATATATTGTAAAAGAAATGTGTATATATTTGAGCAATGAAAGGAAGCGCCCAAATCGATCCATGCATTTTTTTATCAGACCGTTCCCCCTGTCCTCGAGGTGACGTTAGCTCATCCAAATGAGCCATTAGTTTGCATACACGACATGGTCAAAAGTATGTGGACACCCTTCAAATTAGTGGATTCTGCTATTTTAGCCACACCCGTTGCTGAACACCCGTTGCTGAAAGGTGTATACAATCGAGCACACAACCATGCAATCTCCATAGACAAACATTGGCAGTAGAATGGCCCGTACTGAAGAGCTCAATGACTTTCAATGTGGCACCGTCATAGGATGCCACCTTTCCAACAAGTCAGTTCGTCAAATTTCTGCCCTGCTAGAGCTGCCCCGGTCAACTGTAAATGCTGTTATTATGAAGTGGAAACGTCTAGGAGCAACAACGACACAAGCTCACAGAACGGGACCGCTGAAGCGTGTAGCGCGTAAAAATCGTCTGTCCTCGGTTGTAACACTCAATACCGGGTTCCAAACTACCTCAGGAAGCAACGTCAGCACAATAACTGTTTGTCGGGAGCTTAATGAAATGGGTTTCCATGGCCGAGCAGCCACACACAAGCCTAAGATCACCATGCGCAATTCCAAGCGTCGGCTGGAGTGGTGTAAAGCTCGCCGCTATTGGACTCTGGAGCAGTGGAAACGGAGTGGAGTGATGATTCACGCTTCGCCATCTGGCAGTCCGACGGACAATTCTGGATTTGGCGGATGCCAGGAGAATGCTACCTACCTAATGCATAGTGCCAACTGTAAAGTTTGGCGGAGGAATACTTGTCTGGGGCTGTTTTTCATGGTTCGGGCTACGCCCCTTAGGTCCAGTGACGTCTTAACGCTACAGCATACAATGACATTCTAGACGATTCTGTGCTTCCAACTTTGTGGCAACAGTTTGGGGAAGGCCCTTTCCTGTTTCAGCATGTCAAAGCCCCCAGTGCACAAAGCGAGGTTCATACGGATATGGTTTGTTGAGATCGGTGTGGAAGAACTTGACTGGCCTGCACAGAGCCCTGACCTTAATTAATCCCTTTGGGATGTTGGCCTACACCCATCATCAGTGCCCAACCTCACTAATGCTCTTGTGGCTGAAGTCCCCCCAGCAATGTTTCAACATCTAGTGGAAATCCTTCCCGGAAGAGTTGAGGCTGTTATAGCAGCAAAGGGGGGACCAACTCCATATTAATGCCCATGATTTTTGGAAATGAGATGTTCGACAAGCAGGTGTCCACATACTTTTGACCATGTAGTGTATATAGTTTAGAGCTTCATTTTCCCATTGGCCAGATTTAGTTTTTTAACATTTATATTGCCTTCATCGAAGACGTGATATGAAAAGTCACTGTTCCAATATGTTCCAGCGTATGTAGGTCTTTGGTTAATAAAATGGTAATTGGGTTTAGAGCTTGTGTTTAAAATGTTTTAAAGCAAGGGGCAAAGTATCTTTACCTATAGGCTAATTTGGACATAAGGACCAGTGTGTGTGAGTGACTGTATGTATGTATGGACACGTGTAAACATTCTAGGGGATCAATTTAAGCATGATGCCTTCACTTTTTATAACAATCACAGGAATACACACGCACACCTCAGTCATCAAACTTTCTCTCCATAAAGTCTGGGGCTTTGGGAGAGAGACTCAGGCGCTTTGCTGCAACAACACTACACGTCTCTGCTGGAGTGATAAGCAAAACTCACTTTTCTCCGGCCTCTGGGAATGTAGTCCCTCCCCACGTCTCACACGACCTCCCGTTGGAACTGATCAAACTTATCAGATAGAAATCCAACTAAGCAGACCACTTAAAGATTCGACAGTCTAGCTTTAAACTCGCATTTTCTGGGGAACTAGTTTTTTATTTGCAGACAGTGATGCATGAATGCTTTCCTTTATTGTTGTTGTCATACCATGAATACTAGCCTAGTGACTTAACTGGTTTCACCTCTGTTTGGTTTAAACGTAAAATGGAGACGTTGAAAGCCCTGCTGGTGGCAAGTGCATGCAGAGGGCTTCCTTTAAGCATGCCTTTCAGGATCTGAGGGCAATCAACTGCCATTTTGGGCCTCACCTTTTCTCCAAAGGACAAAAACTAGTGAGCTTTTCACACACAGTACATTGTGTGGTTTGACCGTGTACAGGACAAACATTTCACACTTCCTTTTCTTTGTTTTCTTTTGGTTTTAAGTGAACTTCCTGATCGTAATATTATGTGAGCGTATTTACTTCAATTGGACCATCAAATTAATGAACTGTCTTAAATGGAAGGAGGAGCCATTAGGCTCCCCAGGTTTGATGGAAACGTATTGGCCTCTATTATTCACTATGTAACATATTGAAACCTTAAGCCTCAAGCTTAAGTAATAAAAGTAGGAGTGATTTGGTTTGAGAATAAAACACCATGCGACTGTATTTTTTTCTAATTTAAAATAGGAAATGTTATCCCTATCGGGTTAATTATTAGACATGCGATTAAACATGATATTAAATCGTTTCTATGTTTTTTCAAAGGATTTACTAATTATTTCAACCTTGCACGTCTAAAGGGAAACACTTTGTTGAAAGACGAGAAGTTGCTGCTCTTACATTCTTGATTATCCCATTCCTATGAACTATGACAAAATAATTTCGCACAGTTCTCAATTGGGCTCTACCACTTGGTCTCAGCCTTGGTCTTCATTACACCTACATCAGAACATGCGACAAACCTCATGGCAACGTTTGTTAGTTTTCTGCCGTGGGTGTTAGGATTGCCTTCAACTGTTCTTCTATCATTAGAATAACAATGTGTAGCCTTGCTGCGTCACAGTATTTGGATGTAGGAGTGGGCTGTAGACTGCAGTTGGTTATGGATCAGTTTAAATTTTCTGATAGGACAAATTTAAATCGTTATCTCATTCTTTCTGGTTACCATGATAACATGCACCTGCTTATTGCACGTATATTCCTTTATGGCTTTCTGTGATGTTTTAAAACTGTAGTGCATGACATTGTTACTTTTACTGCTCTTCCAGCCACGTTTTCCCTTCTCGCTAATTATTACAGCTAAAATGGCTCCTGGGTCCCTGGACGCCATGTTGTGTGTGACGGGGGAAGAAAATTAGTCGCGCAATACCGTGGACGCAGTCCCAACAAAGGTAAAGCCCACTGCCCCCGACCACGCCTGCACTTCGACCATACACTTCCCTCATTGACCCCACTCCTTCTGCACAACGAGGCACCCCATCTTATTATTTCTTTGAGGTCTGTTATGCTGGAAGCCCAAGAAACTATCACAAGACACCCAGTTTACAAGGACGTAGGGCCTGAATGTCTGGGCATGTCCGGCTACTAGTATGACTGATAAGGATTATCTCCACCAGGCACATACACTATTTAGGCTTTTGCAGACCCACCTGATCTGGGTTGACGTTAGATGTGCCTGTAAAATAGTCCAGTCATTACATGGCTCTATCTGATGCCATCTTCCATTAGGAAATTAGATGACCCCATCAACAGTAGTCATGGATTTTTCTTATTTTCTTTGATTCTATTGATGTTTTTAAAGGAATAATTTTGCCAAAATTGAAATGAATCACACTATAATGGCATTAAATGATTCTTCAAGTAATCCCTCACAAAAATGTGTTTTAAACCTGTACTCAAAACAGATTTAGGAAACTGTTATTGTAATTGAGGGTGATCAGATTGGGGTATGCTGGAGTTGTTGCGTATGCTTGTGTTGTGGCATATTTTTCTGAGGTATTTCCAGTGAGACGAGACGTGCATTCACGCTCAAAACTGAGGTGTTCCAGCTGTGCTTTGAACGGCTAAGGACGCAGTGGTACGCAAAAGGCCAGATGAACGGAGGGAGGTAGGGCTATCGACCTCTGTCCCACGCATGTTGGGTGAGTAACCAATGCACCACTGACCCGCTTAAATTCACCCTACCCCTTCAATCTGCAACACAAGGCCCAACCCTCTCACTCTGATCCCATAACAAGTATATCTACAGGCCTACAACACAATCACCCAGAGGACATTCCACAGCTGCGTTAGCTTAGAAGATATGGACGTCAAGAGGACAACATTCAGTATTCTCCCTTCCCTGTCTAGTTAGTTTGCTAAGTAAATTCTACATATCCTAATCACCCTGTTTAAATTGTCTGATTACAATTTGCAAACCTTGATTGGGAACCTTAATGTAATCATGTGGTTGATTTAAGATATATCTTAGGCTGTGTTTACACAGGCAGCCCAATTCTGATCTTTTGCCAGTAATTGGGCTTTTGACCAATCAGATTAGATATTTTGCCAATAATTAGGCAAAAGATCAGAATTGGGCTGCCTGTGTAAATGAAGCCAAACACCAAAATGCCACCATATTATTTTGTGAAGTTTGTATTGCTGTGTTTATTGAGGACTTAAGTGGCCTCCCTCAATGAATGAGAGCTGGACTATATCGACCTATGATACACCGTGCACAGTTTCAAAGTTCCCTTACTCATCTGTTATTATAGTTTTAAATCAGGACTAATCATATCTCTACTAAACAGTTTTTCTCCAGTTGCCCCGTCCCATCTTTCGTGCGATGGAATTCCTGACAACGTTTTTACAGAGACTTGTTTGAGCGCATGTGGATAAGGACTGAAAACTATATGTAAGATCAAGCTTTATGAGAAATCAGGGAAAATACTGTACATCTGTAAATAACTGTTATTTGTCCATTACAGAAAATGAGACAGGTTGCTGATTGCAGAACCATTTATTGAAAGATAAAGAAATGATAATCACCGGAAATGCTTAATTGAGAATTTGTTTTAATTTTTAGGGTCAAATTAGTTTCAATTAAGACACTTTTTACTCTGTTCTTTGTAAGTCTCAATAAATAACATTGAAACAACTCATTTGTTTTGGAAAGCCTAGTTTGTTATGGGCATGAAGGGAAATGTTTACTGAACTGAGAAGTATGACACAATGCTCTGCATTATGTGAATGTGGAATAAAGCCTTTCATATTGGTTTTGATCCTTTCTCCCATATTCTATCCTGAGCCTGCAACCCCTGGTTAGTGGCAGTTCCCCCCAAGACCTGTCACAAATGGCTACATATCAAGGACTTACATTTACGTCATTTAGCAGACGCTCTTATCCAGAGCGACTTACAAATAGGA